ATCAAAAGCAACATACATATGACCGATTTCACGTGAGTTTGAATGTTTGCTTCTCATTTCTGAAGAACACTCGGACTTTTCTCTTGATACCACCCATTAGATTCTGCACAACTTTCTTCTTAACTTTTCGTTGTGCTGCAGACCAAATTTTCTTGAAGCAGTCAACAGCGTTTGCTTCTCATTCATCTTTCTTAAGATGCCGTTTAATTATTGCCCAGTATCTTTCGACAGGACGCAGTTCAGGGCAGTTTGGGGGATTTTTTTTAATTTTTCGACAAGATCAACTTTTTCCTTCTTGAGCATCTACAACGTAGCAGAAGCACGATGAGCAGACGCCAGATCCGGCCTAAAAATGGAGGATCCGTATGCTTTCGGCAGATGGGTAGAAGCCGTTTTTTGATGCATTATTTTCTGTAATTTTCACCATTGATTGTGTCCGTTGTGAAATACGAAGAACTCTTTAAGTCACAGGAATTTTTCGGTTCGGATGTATCGCACATTATCAGACACATCTGTCCTCTGCTAAGCGTTGAAAAATTGCGGCCCGGGAAGTGTACTGGTATCCAATCGTCAACGTCTCGTCGTCCATCAAAATGTTCCGGTTCGGTTTTTGAAGGAGAACGTCAAACAAGTTCCGTGACCGTATTTTCGAAGAAGCTTTCTGTGTATCCATCCTTCTGGGTGCTTTTTGCTTCTTGTAGGTAGGTTCTCATACGTTTTTTGATATTCTGCACAATTCTCGAAACAACAACTTTTCGGAAAACCATTTGTGCAGAATTCACGAAACTTCTCACTTTTTTCTAGCAGTCAAAATAAACAATATTTCTTACACGCTGTGCGAAAATTAACAAATTTTCGTTACGTTTTAACCCTAAACCATTGATAAACACATGTCCACTTTCTTTAATGAACAGGGTCTGTGAAATCTGGTTGGTTGTCTTTATTATGGAGATTTCCAGCCAGACGCTGCTGGTTCATCTCCGCCTGTGAAATTTAGAGCAATTGAGATTTTGAAATGATCGATGAAGATGAAGTGAAGATTGAAGTTCAACTTCAGGTCCAATAGAACACCAAGACCACTCAGCGAAGCGTAATAATGTTAATGCAGAAGACGATGACAAGGGATGGTTTGGATAGCCCCGAGTTTTCAAACGGATCTGAAGGGTCAAATTTGACTTAATTGAGAAATTATTAAATTATCTATCATGTTCATATATTTGAATTCCTATGCCTATATAGTGAATATGATGCAATCATTGGTGACACCTTTCCTTTATTTTCAAAAGCTTATAATAGGCGACGGCCCCAGCGTAGTGGTCACCTTCTCAGAATTCAATTCAACTATGCCTAATTTCTCGCTAGCCGCAATAAACCAAGTTTGTGCTGAAATTAGGCCATTTTGATTGTGTCTAAGTTTTCAAAATGGCGTATTCATCTACTCGAAATGTCGTGAGATTTGAACTCGTGACTTTAGCGTGAGAGGTATGGCATTTAATAAAATTTTAGAACTTGTTTTCGCGCAAATTTTTAGTAAGTTGTGCATAGAAAGTGATTTTTTGGACTGAAGCTTTTTATTCTGAAAATAAAATCATAAAAATTAAATGCAAAAAATGAAACTAAAATTTTACTAAACGTTGATGTTACATGATTGTTAAATAACAATTTTAAATTGTCCATTGTGTCCAATATCAGAAAAAATATCATTTTTGGTATGCTTTCAATTCAACATTTGCTTAAAAAGCTTAAAGATGCACTTTTTTGTTATAACACTTAATAGCAGTTTTTTTCACTTTTTTACCAACTATTTTTTATTTTTTACAGTGTATTGTTTTTTCTGGAAAAATAATCCAGTTTTCCACAACTTGGTCTCAGACGTCATTTCAATTAGATGCGCTTGGATTTATTGAAAAACATCGAATATGCCATTTGAAAAAATAGGCGCGAGTCAAAATGGCTGGATTCCAGCACAAACTTGATTTGTTACAAAAGTAATCGGACAAAGATTCATGAAATTTTGAGAGGGTAAAGTTTGATCTATTCGTTAGTTGGCGTGAGTTTGTTCTATATATTTACAAAAATGTCGTTTAAGAGAATTAAAAAAAAAATGTGACATACAAATTTGACGCAAAACATGCCGTAACATTTTTACAGCTCTAATAGACCCTGAGCAATTTGAAAAACATAGAATTCGCTAAATTTTAAAGATTTAGAAACATTTTTTTTTTCGATGATGCCTATGCTACTCATCGGGGCTACCTTTAAACAACATTTCTCATTGTTCCCGTTACACAAAAGTTAGTATGTACCACCCTTAGCTATCATTTGGAGGGTGAACCCCCATGTTTCCGGACAAAGTTCAATTTTTGGGCCACCCTAATGTACATCCATTCTCGTCAACAGCAAAAGAAATGCTCCAAGCAAATCTATTGTAGCTCCCTCCATCCGAATGTCTAAGTGAATTCAATGTCATTTCAATGTGTTTGGACGTAATTCAAACTTGTATGACATTAAATATGGCTGCTAATGGCTCGACTAAAACAGCCGAATACCACTGCCGGAATCCCATTTGAGCCAGGAGAAAGCGAGGTTTTCAGTATCCTTTCCGCTGAACGTACCATATCGCGAGTTACTTCGAATCGAATGTACTCAGTTCCCTAAGATCAGCAGACGTGTCGGCTTCAACGTCACTTATCATCCTGATGAATATGGGCGTCTATAGTGGAATACCTACAGTGTATCGCAAAATTGAGCGTACCATACCATAATGGATTTTTTTTTTCTTTCGGTTGGTTTTCCGTTGATCTTGATTTCCTTGCTGAGCACCAATGCTACCGACGCCTGGAAGGCAGCTCCCACAGCTGGACCCTACCTATCGACCCATCAACTCATGAACCGGGGACCAACTGCTTTACTTCCCTTCCGAAGGAAGGCGTGATCAGAGATGTTATGCCTCAGAACATCCCAGCGGCGCCGACTGGTATTGAACCCAGGCCTGCTGGGGTGAGAGGTAATCACGCTTACCACTACACCACCGACGCCGCTATTGGAAGCACCTGTATGATGTTAGATTTATTTTAATAAAACGCTCGATTTTCAACTTTTTACATAGGCAGGACAAATTTAAGAAAAAAATGTGGAATATTAATGATCTTTATTATGACTAAAAATGAGCCAAATTTCAAAAAGTTTCGTTCGTTGCATTTCAAGATATTAAGGTACTTCAAGAAAATGGCGGTTTTGTCACATAGCTCTTATTTTTAATAAACACAACCAAATAAGTCCAATACTGTACCGATAATTGATAAATATATGTAAGAGATGAACTAGCCTATGGCTAAAAATCTCTATAATAAAGAAAAAAAAAGAAAAAATAAATAAATATATGATGGTTCAGCAGCCAAAAATTCAGAATCGTTTAAATTGGGCTTCTACAGCTGTTTTACTAAAATTTAATGACATCTGTACACTCAATTGGAGATTCATTGTATATAAGGAAAGAGAGAAGGATAAGTAATTTCCATTTAATTCCACTACCTTAATTGCTTTTCCTTGCCTGATACGCGTATTTCGTCTTCAACATGCAGTGTCTTATACGAATACTCAAATACAATCAGTTAATTTGATTTTATTCTGTATCTGAAAGAAAAGATCGACTTTCTAGTACCGATTTATTCTGTGCATCGATTCTAGTGCCTTATAAAGATTCAACCAGTCAAGGTCGATATTCTCAAAGGTCACCTGATCGTAGGGAATGGACAACACATTTCAGGTTTATACACACTTAGAAATTATCGCCTACTTCGGTAATGTTTACCAAAATTTGAACAGCTGAACTTTTCGGTAAAATTTATGCAATTCAATTCAATTGCTTTTCAGCTGCTTTGAAATTAAATCTCCACTAAAATGACAAAATTTGATCATTTAAACAAGGTTGAAAATGTTTTGATACTATTTTCAAATTCAATAGACTTTAAAATGAAGGTCAAAGTTTCACCGAACGTTCAGCTGTTATGATTTCGGTAAAATTTACCGAACACGGAAACAAAATCTTAGCGTGTACGCAGATGTAAGTGTACCTTTTTTACATAACATTCAAATTTCTAGATTATTCCATGGTTGAATTTAAATTAGTGTTAGTGTTTTGGAATCTGTTTACACTTGATAGTCATGGCAAAATAGTATTGAAAAAAAAATTGGAAAAGATATTGAAATTCCTAAACAAATGGTTTGTTCCGCAAATTTGTGAGAACATTTACAACACATTAATTTACATCAGGGTTAAAATTTGGATTGAAAAATCCATTGATATTATTTTCACTCTCGAATTTTCTAAAGAATGTAAGGATCAAACTAAATGTTTTATATATTCGATATAATTCATATTTTTCAAAAAAATTTAAATGCAAATTAACTAACTAGTTAGAGTTATGCCGGCGCCGGTGGTGTAGTTGTAAACGTGACTGCTTTCTCACCCCAATGGGTCTGGGTACAATCCCAGCCGAGGTCGGTGGGATTTTTCTGGTGCATAAAAATCTCTGGTTGCGTCTTCCTTCGGAAAGGAAGTAAAGCCGTTGGTCCCGGCCCATGTGTGTTGATGAATGGGTGCGATAACTTACGCAGGTGTGGAAGCTGCCTTCCTGCACATTCGATTGCTGACAATGGATGGCAATCGATGTCCGTCGATAATTGGCACTAGATTGCGGAACAGAGACCGACGTTAAATAAAGGAAGCAGTAGATAGAGTCAAGTGCTGTTGTTATTAACTTAATTATCACTGTGAGCAGAGACTGAACCATGAAGATTGTTTTCCCGGAACAGTGATATCTCTTACTCATTTAATGTAATACAGGCATATTTTCTCATAATTAATCATTCAATGTTTATAAACATCTACTCCACACAACCTACTTCCCTTATACACTTTGCATGACCCTTATCAAATGTGCACTCATTACCTCATCTCACCTATATAAATTTTTGCTTTTGTTTTGCATTTGTAGGCGTTACTTCTCTGATTTCCATCATTTTCCCAATGTCACCACATCATTACATCAACCTCTGTAAGTACTCGCGTCGAGTGTTTGTGCGTCTTCATCGTTGCCGTTTGTGTCTTTCGTCAGAATTTCCGTCGCTATGTCTGTGTCTGTGTGTGCCGTCATGTCTCATTTTGTGTTGTTATGACTGTTTGTTTAGAGAAACATCTTCTCCGCGAAGATGTACCTAATTTTCGAGAATCGCGAGATGCCCTACAATTTCCCCACCCCAAGCACGATGTTGTTTGTTTGTTTGGGATGACGACGATGCTATGGTGGGAACATGTATTTTCGCATTCGTGACCCATTTCACCACGCCGCCGGCTTTTGATGCTGCTCCACTATCCACACAACCATGTGTGTCTTACTGACCTTATTGCGTAATTTATTGCACACCTCACCGTGATGGTTGGTGCTGATGTTTGAGCTTGTTGTCGGTCGTTGATGATGTGATGTGTTCTCTTTCCCATACAGCTTCACAAAAAGGAAATTCCCTCAAACGAGGGTACATAACTCTAAACAATGTCGAATCCGATCTGTAATTCATGGGTTACCTATTTTCCGAACCTTGTGCGATCCAGATTGCGCTATAAATTTTCATCGCACCTATCAAAGACTCTTTAAAACCACGAAGATGAGCGATGATGTAGCACCTGCCTTTAAATTGACTAATCCCATCATCAACAACAACAACAGCACCAACAACAATTACTTCTTGGCCATCACCGACCGTCGCGTTGTTGCGTCGTCGATCATCTCGTGCAGCTGCAAAGAACAATCAGCTACCGTTCGCCACTTTTTCCTGTACTAAACAAACCACTTCCAGATGGATACCACTTTTTGACTTGCAGTTTTTCACGTTCCGGCAAGTTATGGCATAGTGCTTACACGCATAACCGCTTACACGTCCGGACGCCTTCCTCTTCAGCACGGCGATCAATGCGAAAACTATACCAGAGGTATAACTCGTATCAACTGTGTATCGTGTAAGCTGAAGAAGCTGCAAAAAAAGATTAATTAATGTTTCGTTTTCATCTCGCAGTTGGTTACTATTTCTTACACTATCCACCTCCGTATGGCAGTGCTACGCGGTGCGACGTTTAAGCTTTTAGTGCGCAAAATAAATAAATGTTAGCTGCTGTTTAAGCTGGCATACTTACTGGATTGCTTCTGCTTTCATAGTAGGTATACCACTAACGAGCGGGAAGTTCCATCATACCCGGTGTGTTTGAAATCGGAAAAATGCTTCCCGACGAGGACGCCAGCCTGTTGCGCGACCATCATCGCCGATCGTGATGAGATTACGATTGTTTGAGGGAAAAGCTGTTGTGAATGAAGCGAGCTATGTATGTATCACTGCTTGAAGCCGTTAGGGGAAATGTCCACTGCAGTGGGCTGATGGTTTAAAGTTACAGAAAATTGTAACCTACAACATTATTTTTGTATTAAAGGGTGATACGGTCAAAATTTGGTCAATATCAACTTGACGTATTTCTTTCAATTTTGCATTTAAAAAACCTGAACACCCCTCATTTTGAAGGTGTGTGTGTGTGTAGAATGTTGCTCCTATTTTGATTTTGGAATTCACTCTTCAGTTGTCAAAATGCCGTCCAAGCAAGAAGAGCAGCGTATCAAAATTTTGCTCGCGCATCGCGAAAATCCGAGCTACTCGCACGCAAAGTTGGCAAAATCGCTAAAAGTTGCCAAATCAACCGTTACAAATGTAATTAAAGTGTTTGGGGAACGTTTGTCGACAGCCAGGAAGTCTGGATCGGGGGAAATCGAAAACCGGAAGCCGCTGAGACGACAAAGAGAGTTGCCGGTAGTTTCAAGCGAAACCCTAACCTCTCTCTCCGAGATGCCGCAAATAAGCTGGGTGCATCGTCTACAACCGTGCATCGAGCCAAAAACGAGCCGGACTATCGACTTACAAGAAGGTAGTGACTCCAAATCGCGATGATAAACAAAATACGACGGCCAAAGCGCGATCCCGGAGGCTGTACACGACGATGCTGACGAAGTTTGACTGCGTGGTAATGGACGACGAAACCTACGTCAAAGCCGACTACAAGCAACTTCCGGGACAGGAGTTTTATACGGCAAAAGGAAGGGGAAAGGTAGCAGATGTTTTCAAGCACATGAAACTGTCAAAGTTCGCAAAGAAATATCTGGTTTGGCAAGCCATCTGTACCTGTGGCTTGAAAAGCAGCATTTTCATAGCTTCCGGGACTGTCAACCAAGAAATTTACGTGAAAGAATGTTTGAATAAACGTTTGCTGCCTTTCCTGAAGAAACACGGTTGTTCCGTACTGTTTTGGCCGGATTTGGCATCTTGCCATTACGGTAAAAAGGCCATGGAGTGGTACGCCGCCAACAACGTGCAGGTGGTTCCCAAGGACAAGAACCCTCCCAACACGCCAGAGCTCCGCCCAATTGAGAAATACTGGGCTATTGTCAAGCGGAACCTAAAGAAGACCAAAAAAACTGCTAAGGGCGAGCAGCAGTTCAAGGCAAACTGGCTTTCTGCGGCGAAGAAGGTGGACAAGGTAGCTGTACAAAATCTGATGGCAGGGGTCAAGCGTAAGGCCCGGCAATTCGGATTTGGAAAAGCGGAAGCCTAACTGAATATTTTTTCTGAATTTTATACTAATTGAACTTGAAAAAGAAATTTAATTTGATTTTTTAAATAAATGATTTCACCGATTTACACGCGTTTTCCCTTGACCAAATTTTGACCGTATCACCCTTTATTAATGCTTATTTTCACGATTTAAAGTGGTAGCGATCGTAGTGATTTTATGTAGTGATATGAAGGTCTCGGTGGTCTAATGGCGACCGTTTTGCTTATGGCGCAAAAAATCATGGGCTTCATCTCATGTTCGTTCAAATCAAAGAGGTGCTCCCTCGTCTGTTTCTAATAGAAAGGTGAAGCTCTATCAAAGCCTTATTTCTTATGTATCTCATACGGAGCTATCCATTAACTACATTGTCTGTTTTTAGAGGTTTTTGAGATAAACTTCCCATGTTTCATCCATATTATTAAAAAAATGTACAGAACGTACACACTCGCCAACCTATCCCACCCCCTAACACGGTTTATAAGTAGCCTCTTACCACTTTGAAACTTCCAAAGCATTAACATTAGCTTCTCCCGCAATAATCAACTAGAAAGCTGTTATCCAGCACAATGCAGCAAAGATTTTCAATGTTCACGCATTGAAGCTGTAACTAATATAAAAAAATCTCTTAATTTTAAAAATTTTATCAGTCTGTTTATCAGCCCGGTGTTTTTCTTCTTTTGAGAAATTATAATGATTTTTTGAGCAAATATATAGTCTTTTCTGAGAATAAATTAAAGGAAAACTATGCATAAATCTAAAAAGATCGAACCCTGAAGATGGCTCCAAGGAAATTCTGGAGAGGAAAGACAGTTTTTGAATAGTTTCAAGGAATTTCAGGAGACAATTCAAATGATTATTCTAAGGGTATTCTTCTGACAGTTTAATAAAAATTAGGAAATTTTAATGAGAGTTTCAAAGGAATTCTGAGATAAGCTCCAAGTGAACTTGGAAGTGCGATCTAAGAAAATCCTGGTCAAAATTTTATAGTTTTTTTTTTGTCATATGTTCCAAGATAATGTTGGCAGAACTTCAAGGAAATTTTAGGAGATTTCCAAGACAATTCTGAGTAAAATTTCAGTATCATTCTGAAGTGAATGTCATGGAGTTAGGGACTTAAAAGTTTTCCTTGGGTATTTTAAATAGCATTTCGGAGAGAAAACTAATAATCTTCTTTTGAGAATTATTGAGAGTTTAAAGAGAATTGTAGGATCAAGAAAAATAATTGGTAGAGAATTCTTAGTGTCCACAATTTTGCTGTTTTCTGCATGGAAACCAGACTATGTATTTGCAAATAGATAGATAGATGCCTTGCAGACACTTTCACTGTGTTTGAAGTTGTTTGTTATGAGGTATGATTCAATTCTTTCGAATGAAAGGAGATTTTTGAAACTACTAATCAAATAATGAATGCGATCTACAATGGGATACTTTTGCTGAATATTTGGGTCAAATATCAAGCTTCCCACTCTATAAATTGTGTTCAAACACCTTGTCGGCCACTTGTTAGATGAGAAAATGACGATTATCAGATAACATTTCGGTATAAAATCCGAATACCTGGCCGAACAGCACTATTCGGTGTATCACTAGTATCAATGTAAATTTATTTCAAAGAAGACAAACGTGAGTAGGCTGTTTCCGACGCCGGTGGTGTAGTGGTAAGCGTGGCTGCTTCTTCACCCCAATGGGTTTGGGTTCAATCCCAGCCGAGGTCAGTGGGACTTTTCTGAGGCATGAAAATCTCTGTTCACGTCTTCCTTCGGAAAGGAAGTAAAACCGTTGGTCCTAGCCATGTGTGTTGTGAATGGGTGCGATATCCTACGCAGGTGTGGAAGCTGCCTTCCTGCACATTCGATTGCCGTCAATGGATGACAATCGATGTCCGTCGGTGATTGACACTAGATTGCGGAACAGAGACCGACGTTAAAAAATATAGGAAAACGTGAGTAGGCTGTGCGTGTGGTTTGACATGTGCTGGTTTGCAATAAAGAGAAACGAGTATTTGAAAATTTTAATGTTGATGATTAAATTTCTAAAGGATTGTAGAAGAAGTAAAATCCAACATTTCCGCAGACGTCACTGAACATTTTCCAAGGTTACTTTTAAGACAATTTTACGATTAAATCCAAGGTAAATTTAAACATTTAGCATGACCGGATCAGAATTTAAACGCAGCCGCGTCCAGAATGGTCTTACTTAATAACTTTACCTACTGAGCTAGAGTGGCCCTGAAGGTTTCAAAATCGTGGTTTTCGAGATCCGGTTTGGTTAAAAACGGTTGGTTGAGATACGGTTCGTGTAAATAGTTCTATTTGTTTCGCCAAGTTAGTTCTTGAACATCAGCCGAATAAACATCAAATTCATGTAAAAATATTAATTTGACTGAACCGTGATGAAATTTGTCCC